CTCCCCGGCAGATACCAGTGCCTATGCATCATGCCACCTGCTGGCCTCACTCTTTCTCTTCTTGTCTCTCTCCAATGAACAAATGAACCCTATAAACAAATAAATAAATAAATAAAGTGAAGACTAAGAAGTCATTAGCTAATTAATCTTAATAGCTTATGAAAGGGAAATTTTACTAAAAGATGATTGGAAAAGAGAAAATTATAAAAAACAAAGATAATGAGAATAAACCTCTCATAGAGAGGATCAGCAATACCAAATGCTAGTTCTTTTTTTTTTTTTTACATTATTTATTTAATTCCATTTGTTATTACTATATTTTAACTTGATCAGACAGAAACAGAGGGAGAGAAAGGGAAGGTGAGAAAGCAAGCTGCCAGGTTTGGGACTCGAACCAGGGTCAACCATGTGGGAGTCCAGCACCTTTATCCACCATACCACCTGCTGGTCCAACCAAATGTTAGTTCTTTAAAATGAAAAAATTCAAGGAATGAGACGTGTAGATGGTATAATGGTTACATCACTAAACTTCCATGTAATTGACAGAGGTTTGAGTCCCAAACCTAGTGACTTAAAACTCACACTGGGCACATGTGCGTGTGTGCCCAAGAACCTGAAAGGGCAATTAAGTAGAAGGGACTGCAGCATGGCCATCCCCTCTGAGGGAGTGATTTATTTTTCTCACTTTCTGTCCATCTGTCTCTGTCTTTCTGGTGAGCACACATACCCTAGAGCAAAAAATCTCTCTGAAGAGAGATTTTCTGAAGACTGATCCTTTTACCTTAAGTCAGACAAATGCATAAAGATTAAAGAAAGGTACTCTACCAGGGACATATACAATGAAAATTAAGACAGTATCTGCCTTCAGCTTGTTAAAAGTTTAACTTTACACAAATGTGAAAATCTGCAGAAGCATTTAGAATAAAGAAGGCTTGGGCCAGGTAGTGGCGTGGTCAGTTAAGACAGCTGGAACCCACCTGGCCAATTGCATGGTTTGAGTACCAGATCCGGTGGCTTAAAAAAACAACAACATGCCAGGTGTGTGAACGCGTAAGACTTTTGCCCATGACACATAATAAATTATTTCCAAAGATACCTTTTAAGAGTTATGCAAAACAATATTTTGAATAATTTATAAATTGGACTACATTAAAATACAAGTACTATTCATCAAATGACACACTTAAAGGGTGTAAAGAGAAGGGACAGAGTGGGAAAAAATAAGGACCACACATCTAATCAAAGATACTTACTTTTTTAAAAAAACTTTTCTTTTTTTTTTTTGGAGGGGTTTTTGCTATAGGGCATGTGCACTCACCAGAA